AGGCAGGACCAGTATCCACCCCCGCCACACCTCGCTCCTTGACCTAGAACTTGGCCAAGAGAGATCCCACTGGCTTAACGTTTACTGTGGGCTGGGCTCCGCGTTAAATGCTTATTACATGCTAGTCTGTTGACTCCTCTCTAGGCATCATTGTCTCTGTTTTGCAGTTTAAGGGAACTTAGAGAGATTTAAATAGGCTGTGACTTGTCCCATGTCATATAACAGTAAATAGCAGAATCAGATGTACTAGTCGCGACTCTCCTTTTGACAAAAAATAGACCCATCTCTTTCTGGCTTAAGATAAAAGAAGATATTTATTGGTTCTCAAAACCGAAAACCAAGAGTAATGGTTTCTGGCATAGCTGGATCTAGGCAACCAAATCTGGGTCTCTTAAACTCTCTGTTTTGCTTTCTTTCTGTTGATTTCATCCTCAGAGGGGCCTCCCTGACATGGTGACAGAGGTGTACAAGATGCCCCTTAGCAGCTTGGGGCTTATAGTTTATGAGTTAGCAGCAGCAACTGTAGAAAGAACACTTCTCTTCCCAGTAGCTCCAGCAAAAGTCTTCAGTGTGATTCTCATTGGACCAACTTGGGTCACGTGCCCATGGCAGGACTATACTAACTGAGTGCTCTCAGAGTTTGGATGGGCTCAACCACACTCATATCATGTGGACCAAAAAGGAGGGAGTGATTGCTTCTCCTCCCCCCTTCACCCCAAATTAGGGCCCTGTGATAAAAACAAAGTCTGCCAGGCAAAGCTACCGATGCCTACCATGCTAGACTTCAGGCCAGAGGCAGGATCTTGGCATGGAGCTAAAAGAGAAGATTCACAGGAGCCAGAACTCAGGGTATGTGTCAGGGCCCCCTGGGCTGCAGATCTGCCCATCAGGAGCAGTTCCTTCTAGAACCTGTATGTGCTCAGTACTTCCAGCCTCAGCATCTGGGACTAAGCGCTGCCCTCCCGCTGCCCAAGCAAAGCCAGGTGCTGCAGGTGAGAACCAGGGCTGGGTGTCAGGGTGTAATGTGAGCCGGGCACAAGCCATAGATTGAGGGGTGTCATCTCAGCTGCCCCAGGTGCTGAACGCAGCTCCACAGCGGGCAGGTGGCCTGCAGACCCCATAGCAGCAGGTTGGAGGAGACAAGGCAACTTAACGAGCAGCACTCGAAGGCAAGCAGGGGTCTGCCCACCAGCTGTGCAGACTATCCTGGGCAGGGCACTCCTGGGTGAGGCCAGAGGCACACAGCCAGGAAACAGCTGAGCAGCAGGGCAGGACCAGCCTGCAGGACGACCTGGGAGCCAGCAAGGTGACTGGTACTTTCTCCCTTCCTCTCTCCTCTGTCCCACCCTGTCCCCTTCCATCAAGACCTCTGTGCCCTGTGCTGTCTTCCCTAGCTAGACCCTGTTGTCAAAGGAGAAGCTGATGCTTATTCTTACCTAGGTGTGAGTGATTAGGAAGGTTCACCATGCCATTCTCCAGGGAGAGGTTCCTATATCTTGATCAGAATCTTAAACTAAACGCTGATTCTGTAGTCTCAGGGATCAGAGAAGTAGGCCATGAGTGAGATGGCTTGTTTCCTGAACAGGGTTTTCTTCGGGCCCTTAGCATACCCTGCTTGCTTTGAAGCAGCCAGAGTTCTGCTGCTTCTCATGGTACATCCAGGACCACCTGCCCACTCGGGGGTTGGTGGCACCCTCTCTGAAGTCAGAGGGACTGAGAGTGAAGAGAGGTTGCTGTGTTTTTTCCTCATGGTTCAGGAAGAGCCACTCTTTTTTTGGAGATATTTTTGCTATAGGGCGCGTGCGCTCGCCAGACAGACAGAGAGACAGACTGACAGAAAGCGAGAAATCACCCCCCCGGGGGGGTGGCCACGCCACAATCCCTTCTCCTCCATTCTCCTCTCGGGATCCTGGGTACGCACGCACACACGCCCGGCATGAGTTTTAAGCCACCGGGTCCAGGATGCGAACCGCGGTCAACCACGTGGGAGTCCAGCGACATAGCCATTACGCTAACTGCTGGTTCCCAGGAAGAGCCACTCTTCACACTCCTTGGCCAAGCTTTTTCCGTAAGAGCTTCTGTCTTCATTAGTGTGTCAGCAGACACAGTGGTTCGAGGCCTTGGTTAGGGCGGTTGGACACAGTGTTCTTCGGCTAGCCCGGCCCGAACTGTTGCGTGTGGAGCTGCATCAGGTCTTCTGACCACAGAGTATGTGGAAGCAGAAGATGGGAGTGCTCCCCCTTCCTCGCCGCGGTCCTTTCCTGTGCCTTGTCACCTCACGAGCTTCCGTGTCACTCGTGTTGGGGAAGGCAGTTTCCCCCTAGTGACCCTCCCATCTCCTTTCCTCTCACTGGTCTGGGAGTTAGTCTGGGAGTCTTTTCTGTCCTGGGGGCCCCATCAGTCAGCAGACCCAGAGGAGGGCTGCTCCCTCTGCCCCAGGCACTCAGCTCTCAGCCTCTCACAGCCTGCCTGTCTTCTCTCAGGCTCCAGAGACCCCGGACCCGCTCTCTCCGGCACACCCCTGTCCATCGCGAGAGTATCAGGCAGCACTCATGTTCTCTCCACCTAGCACATGTCATGCGTCGCCGGGCCGCGGGGGAGGATGGGAAATCAGCCTAGCCCTCAGGACAGTTGCCACCCAGTCGGGAGCACAAGACTGTCAGGCGGTCTGTACTGACCCTCCCATGACCGTCTATGCGGGCCCCTACAAAGAGTCCCCTGGAAGTTGTGAGCATGGCTTTATTTAGGAATAAACCTTACTTATTTATTTGGGAACATGACTTTATTTGCAGGTGAAGTTAAGTTACGGATCCTGGGAACCAGAAGTTAGCGTAATGGCTATGTCGCTGGACTCCCACGTAGTCGACCGCGGTTCGTGTCCCGGACCCGGTGGCTTAAAACTCACGCCGGGCGCGTGTGCGTGCGTGCCCAAGATCCCGAGAGGAGAATGGAGGAGAAGGGATTGTGGCGTGACCATCCCCCCTGGGGGGGGCTTTCTCGCTTTCTGTCTCTATGTCTCTGTCTGTCTGGCGAGCCCATGCGCCCTACAGTGAAAATCTCTACAAAAAAAAAAAAAAAGAAAGTTACGGATCCTGGGATGAGACCGCCCAGGATTTAGATGGGCACACAACTCCTGGCAGCCATCTTTCTGACAGAAAGGCAGAGGGAGAATTGAGACACAGGCCGAGGGAGAAAGGCCATGGAAAGGCAGAGCAGAGTGGAGGGCGACGCTGCCGCGAGCCAAGGAATGCCTGAAGCCACCGAAGCTGAAGAGGCGAGGAAGGCATCTCCCCTATGGCCTCACAGGGAGCGTGGCCCTGCCAACTCCTGGATTTCAGATTTCTGACCTCCAGAGCCAGGAGACAATAAATCGTTGTTTTAAGCCCCCCATGGCTGGCGATTTGCTTCAGCAACCCCAGGACGCTAATACAAGCCCTGATCCTTTTTGTCTCGAGCCCAATTAGAAGGCCAGATGAGCCGGGCTGTTCTTAGGGAATGGGGCCTTCCATGGTCTCCCCTGTTTTTAGGCAAGTCTCTTCTGATACTTCAGAGCTGCACTGAGGGGAAGCTCTGTCCCCTCAGGGGCAGCGTGGCACGGGAGAGCTGGCCCTGCCTGAGGCCAGGAGCTACTGACCCAGCGGTCAGGCTAGAAATCAAAGGTCCCCTGAGATGAGAAGGGAGGGGAGGGCGCTCTCTGGCAAATACTCCAGGGTGGCCAGAGAGAGAGGACAACAGTTCAATGACTGCCAAAGGCCCTGAAGTTGGCCGAGGTGGGTGAGACTGGCATTCAGAAAGGGCTTCCCGGAGGAGGCAGCATGGACTCTGCCTGGTGGCTTACAGGCTCCTGTATAGCTTCTTCTCCGTCTCAGTGCCCTTGCTGCGGTGGTTCCCTTTTACCTAGCACTTTGTATGGCTGGCCCCTTCTCGGAGCCAGCACTGAGAGACTTGCCTGACCACTCTCTGAACCCTTCCACCCTCCCGGCTCTCCTCTTTACATGACCATGTTTTAGTCTCTTGATGGCAGTGCAAGAAGACATAGATGCATAACCAAATTACTTACTAGGTATGAAAACGTTTACTGGGCCAGCCAGTGGCAGTAAGGTGACTGGATCCCACATGGCCAGCTGCATGGTTCAGGTCCTGGATATAGCGACTTTAAGAACACACCAGGTGCATGTGAGTGTGTGCAGAACCCCAGGAGGAGAATGGAGGAGAAGGGAATGTGGTGTGCCTATTCCCCTTGGGGTGGGGGGGTGATTTCTCTCTCTCTCTCTCTCTGTCGCTCTCTGGCGAGTACACACAGCCAATAGCAAACTACAAATTAAAAAAAGAAAATGTGCCATCATCTTCCCATGCACACCCCTCCCCGACTGGAGTGGAAACACCTGGAGAGCAGCCCGCCTCTGTCGCGTCCACTGCAGAATGCCCAGCACCTGAGCAGAGCCCAGCACAGGAGGCCTCCCTCTAGACAGTGCTGGATGGAGGGCCAGGAGGATGGATGGATGGAAAGAAGGAGCAGAGTCTTTGAACAAGGAATGACGTCCTAGGGGGTGGGAAAGGCAGGGAGGATGCAGTTGCACGTGCACAGACGCTGTGGATCCGGAAGAGGAAAGGCTGCGCAGGAAAGACCAGTCTGCCCAGAGCGGACGGGGTCGAGGCGAGCCCTCTCTCACACCCCTGTGAAAGGGTGCTCGCCCGTGTGGAAGAGCACTTCCCTAGTTCACGGAGGTCGCTACAGAACTCTTCGTGATCAGGGCCAGGGCTCCTGGCCAGTGGTGTGTCTGGCCATCTGTGCCCTTCCAGGCCCCCGGCCCGAATTCTCATGGGGAACCCACAGGCACCACTTTTCATGAGGACTGTGCTAGAAGCTGTGGCTTACCTGGAGTTTAGGTGTTCTCATCTCCCTCCACATACAGAATAAAATCCAACTGGCTCTTGTTAAAAGAAAAAGAAATCAATTTAATAAGTAGAGTTCTAATTGAGCAAATCGTAACACAATTTAAATTGGGCGGTTGTCCCTGGACTTCCGGACAGCTCCAGCTAGCCTCGTGGTCAACTAGGTATTTAAGTTCTGGAAAAGGCGAATGATGTGTACAGGAAGGGGGACGTGACCGTGACGTACAAAGACGAAAGTGAAGGAACGAGGGCGGGAAACGATTTGGGCTGGTTATGGTCTGAAGCTTGTCTGCATTCGCATGGTTTCAAAGGCGCGATGCCCGTGACTGGCTGAAGCCTACCTGCTGTGATTGGCTATCACCTAGCAACCAGCTCAGACACTCAGCCTACCGTGCACGATTTCAGCCTATCCATAGGAATCCAAGTGGCCATGTTAAGCCAACGCAGTTTCATTTAACAATTACCCCATTTTTGGTCAGCCTCTCAAATGTTTGGAGAGAGTAACCAAACTTAACACCGTCGTAAGTGACAATTTCTTGCTGCCAGCCTAGAAATCTCAGGTTTCCTCCTGTCTCCGGCGTGGAGTTCACATCACGATATTGCACAAGCTGAACGTGGTGTCAGACAGGTCAGACAGGTCTGGCTTTGCGCTTTGTACTGATCTGGCTGAAACAAGACCATTGAGCGTTGGCTGGATGGCTCCATACAAAGCGTTTAAGACTGGAGAGGACGGAGCGCACCAGGAGGACTGAGGCGATGACTAGGGCGCACGCCTTCCCGGAAGTTCCTATGAAACAAGCCACACTGAAGTAAACAGGTCACGGTTGAGGCAGCACGGGCAATTTGACGTGAACCTAATTGTTCCTCATCGTCTGGAGTGCGATGGTGACAGGGACCATAGTTCTTTGTAAAATGGCTGGATTTAAAGAGCCATTTACCTCTGTCGTTAGTCTAGTAACAAGTCAGAAGAACCCAGAGGCCTATTAGGAGAAATATAAATATTAAAAACTTGGAAAAAACGAAGCCTTTTACATCTAACGTTTAGGATTGCCGTTAAACGAACTGTCAGTTATTTTATTAATTACATGACTGTTTCTTTAATTTGATGGAGTTAGCTATCAAACGTAAGCCCCTCGCGGGAGCAAACACTCCCAAGGCCTTCCATGACCAAGCCCGAAGAACTCCATGTGTTACCTACGCATCCCCCTCGCCCTTCATACTCCAAATGCCAGGTTGCAGTCCCAGCGCAGTCACTTGATAGCTATGTGACTTTGAAGAGGTCCTTCAACCTCTCTGAGCTGCCATCTCCTCCTGGACGAAGCAGGCCTCGTAGCCGGATGGACTTCAAGGTCGCTAGGACGATTAAGTGAGAGAACCCAGTGAGAGCTCTGTGAGTGGGGGCAGTAAGCAGTAATCTGCAGCCGCCATGGCAGTTCTCACATCACCCCGCAGGCCCTCTACCCCCACGAGAAGTCTTCCTCAAGCCCAGGCTCCAGGTGAGAACACAGACGCCCCAGGGAGGGGGCCCCTGCTCCGAGGTCACAGCCTGTCAGTGGCCCAAGAAGGGCTTGCACCCACGACTCCCAGCCCAGGCCCCTGTTCCTCACGGTCCTGCCTTCTCAGCCCCTTCTGACCCGGGGTGGCGGGAGGAGGGACCTCCACCCTCCACTGAATGCTCAGACAGCCGCCTCCCCGCTCTCAGGAGGGAGTTAGCCCGATGAGTTCAGTCTGTTCCATGCCGTGTGCAATCTTCCTTGTGCTTATCGGATTTCTGGGGCAGCATCTGCATGGCTTTGAAGACTCCGGCAGAGGCCAGCTCCGCAGTAAACGGGCTGAATTACATTTACAAGGGGCTTTTAATGCCCTGTGGTCTCGGCTTCCTTAATGGGGATTTTCCTCCCCCTTTTTTCTCTCTCCCTTTTAATATGGTCACCGGTTTGGCTTTCAGAGTGCGGTTTGGATGCCTAACAGAGAAGTCAAGACCATAGGATCCTTTCCAGGCCCTCCCTCCCCCTCCCCACCTCCCCCTGCTGACTGTGCCAGAGCAGAGAACAAGATTGCAACAGGAAGGAGGGAAGCCCCACGGGATTCCGAAAGCTCAGCAGGGAATTGGCTTGTACCTAGAATCACTGCCCCTGAGCTGCGGACCCACGAACCTGTGGAGGGGGCTGGGAGGGTGGCAAACCCAGGGCAGAGCGCCCCCGTCCTTGCAGAGAATGGGCTTGAGGGGGACAGCGGGGGTCCTGTAAGTCAAGACCATAGGTTCCTTTCCAGGCCCTCCCTCCCCCTCCCCACCTCCCCCTGCTGACTGTGCCAGAGCAGAGAACAGGATTGCAACAGGAAGGAGGGAAGCCCCACGGGGGTCCGAAAGCTCAGCAGGGAATTGGCTTGTACCTAGAATCACTGCCCCTGAGCTGCGGACCCACGAACCTGTGGAGGGGGCTGGGAGGGTGGCAAACCCAGGGCAGAGCGCCCCCGTCCTTGCAGAGAATGGGCTTGAGGGGGACAGCGGGGGTCCTGTGCATGGAAGCCTGCGAGGTGGGGCGTCGGTAGAACCCTCCCACCTGCCTGCGGAGGCTCAGTTTCCTGCGTGGCTTTTTCTTTTGTACCAGTGCTGCCTCTGCACCTGGGTCAGGAGAGCTGTCTGTATCTCAGGGACACCCCATTCAGCCAGCGGTCACCCTCCTTCCTTTCTGTCTTCCAACAGGACGAGAATAGCAGGAGGATGAGGCCTCTGCCCCCCACAGGTCTGTGGGCCCTGGTCCCTCCTACAGTCTTCCCCTCTGGTTCCCCCAATTTCTTGGACAGTCCTTCAAAGTCCTTCAAGATTCTGTTTGGCCACTGGCGTCACCAGATATGGGCAACCTCTAGCTCCTAATGACAGCTGGCTCAGGTAGAGGGCAGCCCCAGGGCTGCCTGTTGTCATGTCACTCTTGAGAGCGGATCCTCTCACACCATAGGTCTGTTTTTACCCGGCCGCCCCACGGCTGCTCACACATGCTTCTGAGACATGCATGCAGTAAAGCCACAGGCAGCCAAAAAAGGGTAGGAAGCAAAGAGGAGGAATACCAAATCTGTGACATCTTCCCCCAAGGAAGGCCGTCTCCGATGTCTTGATAAATCAGTTTTATCTCCTTTCAGAAGGCGTGCAAGGCAGAGCCTCTTTATGACACCGTTCAGTCTGCACAGTGTCATCTGTCTGACAGGGACATGGCCTCACGCTCTGGCTCCAGAAAGGGAGGGAGGAGTGTTCGAGGAGGAGTCTGGGAGAGGAAGGGATGATCAGACGTACTTACCGAGCCCCTGCTGTGTGCAGAGCCTCGGGTGCGGACAGGAGGAACGAGCTGCAGACTTTACGTGGAGAGAGGAAGCAGACAAACGGGTCACACACGTGGGTTGTAGTTCCACGCCCCTTGTCTGGCTTAGCAGGGTGGTGACCAGGGCCTGTGAGACAGGGAAGTTAGGGAGGGCTGCAGTAGCTGCTTTCACACCCACCTTTACCCCCAGGTCCCCTCACCACCCACTCTGCCTGCCAGAGGCTGTCTGTGGCAAACCCGGGCTCTGCACTCAGCGGCTGTGTTCAAGCTTAGCCATGGGCGCATGCTCAGCTAGAGCCGGAGTTCAGGCCCTGGGATGCAGCCCTCTGTGGCAAGCATGCAGTGGATGGATAAATACCCCAGCTCCCTGCCCTTGGTGGGATAGCTCTGAGGGGTGTCCTGTGTCGTCTCCCAGAGTTCCCCAACAAGATTGAGGTCCAGGTGCCCATGGTGATTAACTGGCTTGGTAATACACTGCCTCTTTCCTGCCTTACTACCCCCAGCCCCCCACCCCCGTCTCCTAATGATATTTCCAGGGGTTGCCTCCTACAATGAGCGCTCAAATCCTTGTTTCTGGAGCTGTGTCTGAACGGACAGCCTGAGCCGAAGCAGCGCCCTCTCAGTGTGTCACGTGGAGCTCACAGAGGTGCAAGGATGTCAGCGTGCAGTCTCCATATTTGCTCACATGCAGTGGGATGCACCGAGTTAGGCCTGCTCTGATGCAAGTGGTAAAAGTCCACTTCCAACCAGCTTCAATTAGAAAAAGAATTTTATGTTTTACTCAGGCGAAAAGTACCGAGTAACCCTCTGGAAGTTGTGTCCAGCTGTTAAAACAATGTTAAGGGAATCTTTTCCTCACCATCTCTTGGCTCTGCTTTTCAATCATTCAAGGGACATTTATTAGGGCCAGGTGGCAGTGCAGTAGAAATGCAACTGGGCTCACAGGGGAAAGGTCCTGAGTTCGTGTCCTGGGACCTCCCTGAGCACGCCAGGCATGTGTATCTAAGCCTGTGCTCATGTTCTGGGCTGGCTGTTTAGGAGCAGATCACGGTATAGAGACCCTTTGGGTCATGCCTGTCCCTCTGTCTGTTTCTCCCTCCCAATGGAAGAAATGAGTGGAAAAAAAAAATGTTCAGGGTTTTTGCTATAGGGCACGTGCGCTTGCCAGAGAGAGAGGCGGTGAGAAGGGAAATGAGAAATCACCCCCTGGCGGGGAGTGGCCATGCCACAGCCCCTTCTCCTCTGTTCTCCTCGCAGGATGTTGGGTATGTACGCACGTGTGCCCAGCATGATTTTCAAGCCATTAGGTCTGGGATTCGGCCACGTGAGAGTCCAGCGCCTTACCCCCACACCACTTGCTGGCCCTGAAAAAAAGTTTCATAAAAGCATTGATTGAGCACTTACCTGGGACCAGCACAGTTCCTTACTGTCATTCTGGCTTTCTCCTCACACAGTAATAAAGCCAGCGGCTGCTAGAGATACCAGGCCTTCATCTTGCCAACTTAGCAACTGTGTGAGAAAGACATTTCAGGGCAGGCCCTCATTGGCCCAGATCAGGCCTCTGCCCATCCCTGAGTCAGTCCTAGTAACACTGGTTGACTAGGCTGGGTCACGTGCCTGCCCTGTTGACAGGGTACAGTTAAGCCCATTGACACCACAAGGACGGGGATTGGATGGGGACTTGTCCAGAGGAAACTTGCGTGGACTGAGACAGCAGGTTCCTGTTTCAGCTATGGCAAGCACTTCCTCACAGGCCATGCTCCGCGGGCCCAAAGAGGAGTCACGAGTGCTGTCACACACAGCAGAATGTGGCGGGCGCCCTAGGAATGGACATGCCGTGCGTGGTCTGGGAAGAGGAAGATTACTTCCAGCTTGGTCAGTCAAGGAAAACCTTTTGAAAAGGGGGCATTGGACCTCAACACTGGAGGCCACGAGGCACAGAAGAATCAGTTGTATAAGATCTCAAACATCAAACCAAGGAGTTCTGATTCTAAATTTAACCGACTGGAAAGGGGCTGTGCTTTGGTGTATTTGTTATGGTTGAATGTGGCCAGGTTGAAAGAGCCTGCCGGGAAGGTCTGAGAGGGTGGCATTTCCTGGAAGCCTTGCCCATACCTGCAGAGGGATGCCCTAGCCCAGCTGGCAACCGCCTGTATGCCGGAGGCTGCGTGTACAAAGAGGCCGGGAAAGTGGGGCTGGGGCAGCCATACTTCCCTCAGCGTGGACTCATGCCCTCCCTGGAAGTCACCACCCACCTAAACTAAGAATAAGAATTCCTGCCTAGCTGGCAGGAGCGAATGCCGATTTCTCAAGGAGGGATGGGCCTGAAAACAAAACATCGCGTGTGGGTTGGGCCGTACTTCGTATTTGCAAGGTCACTTGAGAGCCTCACCCATGCCAGGGCATTAATCCTGCCAGTGGAGCCAGAGAAGGTGACTTGGCCAAGTTGTTCATGGAAGCCCAAAATGGCAGCCTCCGGGGCTCCTCATCTGCCAGAGAGGCCTGGGCCCTCAGCCTCAGGCGCCTCCTGCCCCCCAGGAGAGGTGACGCTGGGCGGAGGTGGGGTCTGGCCAAGAGACTGAGAAGCCAAGGGAGAGGGGAGTGAGAGCGTCTCCCTGATGGCTTTAGGCAGAATCACCTGACTCACGATCATCTCTCTTCCAGGCAAGATCCTCTTCCGGAGAAGCCATATCCGGGATGTAGCTGTGAAGAGGCTGAAGCCCATCGACGAGTACTGCCGGGTGAGGGTGTATCTGGTGCTGGGGAGGGGTCCAGGAAGGTTGGAGGGGGGTCTATCTGCTTGAGAGTCCATCCATCTGTGAAGTAAGTCTGTCTGTGCAAAACCCTCTGAGGCCTGGTGTCCCCCGGCTAGAGATGTCCCTCTAGGTGGGGTCACCCTGTAGCTACCCCCTGGGGCACCAGGGCCTCAGGGTCACAGCAAACCCCCTGCTCCTTTTGGGACATGTCCCTGTGTACAAATGACTGTTCTAAATCAAACGTCCCTGCTCTGGAGGTCAGTTAAGGGGCCTCATGCAGAAGGGATTATTTGTGGCATTTTGCTGGACATGGAACTGCTTCTTTGAATTCCTTTTCTCGTGGGCTATTGTCGGATTCATTTCTGAGTTCAGTAACGTGCAAAGTACACATTTGTCTGTGCACGTAAATCCTGATAGATTCAAGTGTTCATATGCATGTCTTCATAGGTGTAAATGCTCCTATGAAGGGGGGGCCCCCCCCCCCCGCCCCGATGTCTGATAACAGACAGGAATGTGACAGCGATGTCAGAACTGGAACCGGAACCAGAACCGGAACTGGAGCCCATTTGTCTTTCTGACTGAATAGAACTAGGACTCCTGCAGGGAGCAGAGGTCGCCGTGTCACTGTCCTTAGCTCATGGTCTCTAGACAGGCTGCTTGGGTTCAGCCCCCAACTAGCTTTGGGAACTTGGGCAGAGCTTCCATTCCTGCACGCAAGGCAGAGTGTCACCCCTCCCTGGAGGGTGATCAGGAGGACAGAGTGAACTGACACTCGTAAGGCGACAGCAACGGTATCTGGTGAGAGGAGCATTCAGTAGATGTTTTGGTTTATTATTATTATCATTAAAAGGCGCCAACAAATTGTGTTTCATAACTAAGAAGGGCTGGCCACAGGCCAGCAGGTGGCGTGGTGGTTGAGGCACTGGATCCCACATGGTGACTTTGTGATTTGAGCCCCAGACCTGCAGCTGGAAAAACACACTGGGCAGTATGTGTGCATGCATGCCCAAAATCCTGAGAGGAGGATGGAGGAGAGCGGAGGGCAGCATGGCCATCTCCCCTGAGGGGTAATTGCTCATGTTCCCTTTCTGCCTTTCTCCTGTGAGCGCACTTGCCCTATAGCAAAACATTAAAAATAAGAAGAAGAACTGGCCACCTCGCACACAGTTAGGAACCATGCAGAGCTGTGGTCCCTGGCCATTTTGGTGCCAGGGACCAGTTTTGTAGAAGATGGTGTTTTCCACAGACCAGGATGGAACAAGAGGATGATTTCAGGATGATAGTTATTCTGTAATTTAGTTGAATTATTATTACATTGTAATAATAAGGACAGATAATCACTCCTTGGCCTGGAGGTTGGAGACCCCAGGTGTAGAGGAAGCCTGATCCCAAGGCCTGTGGTTCAAGTCCTTCCCCCAGTGGCTTCTCGCTGGGTGTGTGAGCATGTGCCCAGGACCCTGACAGGACAGAGAACGGGTGGAAGAAGGGTCGCAGTGTGACTGAACCCCGTGTCGGGGTGCTTTCTCTCTTTCTGTCTCTGTTTCTTTTTCTCATAAGCATGCATGTGCCCTCTAGCATTGAAAAAAGCAAACAGATTTAAAAGCTTTATTGAAAGCAAATGTTGATGGAAAGAAAAGCAAATAAAAAATAAAAACAAATAAATGAAAAAACCTAATGATGAATAATCTGATGTTACCACTGGGCACTGCTGGCTTTTATAGAGGTAAAATTTCAGGACCAGCAGATGGTGTAATGGTTATGTCACTGGATTCTGGTTGTCACTGGATTCATGACTGATTGTGGTTCGAGTCCTGGACCTGGAGGCTTGAAACACAAACACAACGGGTATATATGTGAGTTTGCCCAAAATCCTGAGAGGAGAATGGAGGAGAAGGGATTGCGGCATGGTTGTTTCCCCCAGGGGTTGACTTGTCGTTTTCTGTCTCTGTCTCTCCAGCAAGCGCACACACCCTATAGCAAAAATTTATCCATAAATAAATAAATCGAGGTAGAATTTCTTAGTTAAAGGAAACGCACTGTGGAATCTGACTCGGAATCTTGAGGGGAGGTGAGTGTGGGGGAATGCTGTGTCACAAATGCTGGTTAGCGGGTCAGAGCGAGAAGAGCTGGAGTCTGATCTCAGGGCTCTGCTTCCTAGCTGGGTGACTTTGGACAAGTTCCTTTAGCTCTTAGAGCCCCCAGTTTTCTCATCTGTAAGTTGGGATAAGAATGACTATTCCGGGCACTAGTATCCAAGATTCAACAGGCCGGAGGTCTGCAAGGAGGCGACCACAGTGTGATCAGACCCCGTGGAAGGTGCTTCTCTTTTCTAGTGTGTGTACGTACTCTATCACGAATAAAGAACAAAATCCTGAAAGTTAACTATCTCATGGGTTAAGTGAGAGATGTACATCTTACTGTTTTATAATTCTTTTATTTTCATTTTTAAAAAATGCAATGCCCAGAGGACAGATGTGCTTGCCAAAGAGAAAGAGACAGACAAAAAAAGAAAGGGACAAAGCACGCCTTAGGGGGACGTGCTCACACCCCAGACTCTCTCCTCCATGTCTCCACCCTATTGAGACTCTGGGGGGACACAAGCACATGCACCTAGTGAGTTTTTCTAGCCAGTGGGGGCAGGATTCGAAACGCAGTTGGCCATGTGGGATCTGACTGCCTTAACCACTAGGCTACAGGGCTGATCCTGTCTTACACCTCTTGAAATGCTCTGTCCTCACACAGAGCTGTTATCCATAGAGTCCCTTTCTACTCTAATATCTTATAAGTGGATCATTGTGCTTAACAATAAAAGTATTTAAAGAAGTACTAAATTGTGGCCAACCAGTGGTGTGCTGATTAAGGCAGGTGCATCCCACATGGCCGACTGTACAGTTCGAGTCCTGCCCTGGCCACTTGAAAAACATGCTGAGTGCATGTGCATGTCTGCCCAAAATCCTGAGAGGAGAAATGGAGGAGAGGGAGGATTGCAGTGTGGTCATCCACCTTGGGGGATGCCTTCCTACTCCCCCCTCCCTTTCTCTATCTCTGTCTCTCTCTGGCAAGCACACACGCCCTATAGTAAAATTAAAAAAAAAAAATAGGAACCAAGTGTCTAAATGTATTAACTGGTATTCCTATGCCTGTAGGAAGGCAAGTGCTACCATATACTCTCCCTGAAACCAAAGTTTAATGGAGTAATGGTTACGTTGCTGGACTCCCACATGGTTCGAGTCCCGGACCTGGTGGCTTAAAACTCACGCCAGGTGTGCCCAAAATTCCACGAGGAGAACGGAGAAAAGATTGCAAGTGGCCATCCTTCCTGGGGGTGATTTCTTGCTTGCCTTCTGTTTCATTCTCTCTCCAGCCAGTGCATATGCCCTATAGCAAAAATCTCTTTCTTAGAAAAAAAAAAAAAAGAAATACAAAGTTTGAATTTTCTGACTTGGATTATATTCAGGTCACATGTTCTGCTTTATCCTAAAAGGATGCCCCCAAAATTAGTCCCCTTAAGCTAGAAGTGCCTGTTGGTCAGATCAGCATTCATTCTTCCCTAAAGGGTATTCATCATTTCTAGTTAAATTAATGGCTGCAGTCTGAGCTTTTATTTCTCTTTATTCCTGTCCCAAGAAGTTAAATGAATGGGCAGAGCTAATGGAGGAGGGGCAGAGGGCAGGAGGCAGCTCCTCCTGATGGGATTTATGGCTCAAATCAGCCTTGGCCCCCCTCATCCTCACCCCGCACCCCACCCCCAGCTGGTGGAGCTCAGGCGTCTGCACTGGGCTCTCCTGGATCCTGCAGAGGAGGAAGCTGATAGCAGCTTATCTCATGGGATCAGGCTTTGAAGAGGACTCCTGATTCAGGGGGACTCTGGGCCTGCTGGTGGCTGAGGGGAGCCTTTGAGGTGGGGTCTGCCAGAGAGGGGCCCCTAACCTGATTAGCACGGATAAGAACTGCTCAGAGCCAGACAGGAGCAGTGTCAGACAGGAGCAGTGTCAGGGGTTCGCCAAGCAGACAGCCATCTTGCCGGCGGTAATTGGCTGAGACAGCGGGGGGCAGGGCAGTGAAGAGCGACCTTTAATTCTGCTGACCTCGGAGGCTGGGATCTGTGCTCGATTGTCTAAGACCCACTGGCTCTAGAACACCACGAAGGTTGCACCAGCAGCAGTCTGTGTCCCTGCCGCCAGCATTGTGTTCCACAGCTCTGCCACCAGACGGTCCAGTCTGGCCTCGCCATCACTGCCAGCCACACCCAGCTCCACGACCAGTGTCACGTACAGGCCACTCCACGACCTGCCTGCCCTTGTCTGTCCCTGTCCCTGTCCCTGGATACACACTGCTGAGAGCCTCTGGAGCCCTTACTTCCAGGACCCTGCAGAGCCAGCTCAGCTTGGCCGGCCAACATCATCTTCCTTGGACCCACTAGACAGTGTAGGCTCAGGGGCTGGGGTTTGATGGGGATTCAAATGCACCCAAAATTGAGAAGCCAACTTTCTGCACAGAGCAGCCAGGCCTTCCGCAAGGGCTCAGATGTGAAAGTCTGACCACGCCGTGGACCTCCAGAGTTTGGGCTCCCTGTCCTCACTAGCCAGCCAGACCTTCTGCCTAATGGTGGTTTTGTAGCTCAGATCACTATTGATTTTTTTAAAAATAATTATTTATTTAATTTTATTTATTCATTCATTTATTTTTTAATTTGACCAGAGAGAGACAGAGGGTGAGAGTGAGAGAGAGAAGCAGTGAGAAAGCAAGCCACCAGATTCAGGACTCGAACTCTGGTCGGCCATGTGGGAATGACCAGCACCTTAACCACCACGCCACCTGCTGGTTCCCGAGATCACTATTAATTTTAAACATAGAAGAACAGACCAGATGAGCATCACAGAAAATACTGAGCGCCAGGCGGTGACTGTTCTATGTGGCACTGGAGGCCAGGTGTCTATCAAGAGGGCTTCCAAAGGCATTTCTTAACTCCATAAGTTAATTTA